GGGTTTAGGGGTTTAGGGTTAACAGACAGTCCTCGCGTTCAGCTCGGCCTCTGGGACCGTTCTGAGAGGTTTTTGATTATTCGTCAATGCAGCACGGCAACCTGCAACTCCACCCTAAACCCTAATCCGAAGCCCAAAACCTGTATTTCAGCAACATTCTTCAGCCATCCCTAAACCTCTATGTAAATCCCAAGTTCTACCATGGTGACAATGTGAGAGTGGACATTGGGTTTCTTTTGGAAAGGGGAATAAGGCCCATGCATACTACTCCCTACTAAGCCCCACGCGAACCAGCTCCAGAATATGTTTGTAGCTCCTCTGGCTGCATTTCAAATCTCAAGCTGAAGAAATCCCAGACAAGGTCGCTCACACAGTTCATGCCGGCAACCAACAACATCGCCCCGCACCCTTTGCAGCAATGCGTTTAGGGTTAAGGTGATGCTCATGTGCTAAACACGATTCGTTCGTGATAGTCCCACCTACAGCATCATGTTCCCTCCGAGGGAACATGCCTTCACAGGGCTCGCAGAGCGTGTAACCCACAAGAGCTCCTCGGGCTTCCGAGAACTGAAGAGAATCAGGACGGCTTCCCCCAGCGCTGATCATAGATCGTAGATATCCACCTGAAGGGGGGGGAGCAGGAGCTCTGAGTTGAATCTTCATGTGAAAAAAGGGCGACCCCAATGTAGACCCCGTGATAGTACAATCCTCATAGGAGCCCCCAAAAAGGCAAGAAGGTTTACTGGGGCCCATGTAACAAGGCTTATATTTTTGGGGGGTTTAGGGGTTGGGGGATTTTATATTAGGGCCCCTTGTCAACATGTTGAAGCTACCATGTGGTCTTTCGGGTCTTTGGAATTTCAGGAATAGCGCAACCGAGCGTGTCTTTGCCATCTTCGTGGTTCTGATCGGCCTCGCCGTCTTTTCGTCATTCATCAGCGGCGTCACCAACACAGTACTCCGGCCAAGATGGAGCGGTTGAGAACCCTTCTGCAGCGGATCCTGTAGTTCACAAAGTTGTTTGCATCCAGGGTTGGGGCTAAGGAAGGGTTTAGGGTTTAGGGTTTATGTTTCTTCGAATTTCTGAATATGAGAACTCCTGTGCCGAAGTACTCCGAGGACTCGACGTCCTTTGAGATGATGGGCACTAGATCTGGAGTTGACGTGTTCTGTGAAGGCTTCGCTGGTGGGTCCCCCCGTACATACACATAAAGGTCATGAGGGGAAAAACACAGAGGCCTTTATGCTACTAGGCGTCAGAAGCCTGGCCTTCAGGTAGGGTAAGCTCAGATGGGAAGTTAGCTTCCCCAAGGTGGGTAGAGAAACCACTCTCCCTTTTCTGGAGGGTGGAACACTCTTGTGGCCCCAGTTCTGTAATGGTCTTACAAGGCCTTTGGGCGTTCCAACCAGATTTTGGAGTCGTGCCAGGAATTCTGCAACTTTGCAGGGCATCTCCTATCCTGCTAATCCTCCCAAACTGAAATATTTTCTTGGATTGTTGCAAGTAGGGCTGATGATTCTGGAGATGTCTAAAGCCTTGGTTGTATGTAGGTTGGTGACCCCCTGGGATGTCTGAATGAAGCCTGCAAACAGAAGTGGATCTGGATGTTTGACCTTAGACGAAAATCCCTAAGCCCTACAACCTAAACCCCTANNCCTAGACCCTGAACCCTAAACTCCCCAGAACGAAGCAACTAAAAAGCCCGGGTACCTTTACAAGTACTTTGGGGCCTACCTTGACCCTGGATGTCCGTTTTTGGGGGGGAGATATACGGTAGTTTCCCGAAGTAAGCGAACCCCAATATGGACCAATATAGATTACAAAATACGATCATCTTCCTATTAGGGCCCTCCCTAATTTTCGGAAACCCCCAT